CAAGCCAGTCCTGGAACAATCTAAACCAATCTGTAACACATCAATTGGCTTTTAACTATTAAAATAAACTTTATCAAGACTATCTAACATAAGAGAGAGACCTATTAAAATGTAAAGAATTAACCTCAGTGTTATGGTGACAATTAAAAATGAAGAGAGGAATATAAAAATGTTAAGCTCCCTCAAAACCTTGAGTTTCAGTAACTGTTGTTAGTATGACTTCATACCAACCCTGCTGCTTTTGAGGGAAACCAGACAAAACCCAACCTATAAAGAAACTCTTGCTTCAAAAAAAACCAGCAAAACAACTTGTTCAACAAGCATAAAATATACAAGTTTTTCCATCCTGATCTTTCAGTTACCTTAGCTACTGGAGATTGACCAATCTTCCAAATAATCAGCCTCTCTTTATGGACTAGCCAGGCCCATCCGCTTTCATCCACTTGAACGCTCAGCTGGTCATCAGCTACATAAAAAGTCATTTTTTACAAGCATACAGATATTTAAAACACTGCAGAGTAACCTCAAAAGAAACACACTTCCATTCTCATATGAAAATACTATATTTTCTATTAAATTAAATTCCATCTTAGAATTCCCATGTATTTGGTTACGACACCAAATTACTACATCTAGTTTAAAAATCCATTTGACAGAAGACCAAACTTTTGAAAGCAAGATGATCCTAGAAGCCATTTCAACCAATTTACAACAGTCCTAAAGATTATTTTTCAGATGTGTATTTTTGGTTCCTCTTGCATCTACTAAGAAAAGAAATCTTATCCACAGGAAAATAGGAGCACAATTTCTTGAACTCAGGGAAAGGTCTGTATCACTGGGACTTTTAGAAGTGATAACAAATGTGGTTTAAAAATAAACTTGAAAAAATCAGAGCATCCACTTCAGGACACAACAGAATCAAAACACCTCCAGAAGGTGTGAAAGAACCAATGTCCAAAAGTTACTAAAAACTGGTACTGGCTTTCTTTACAACCTTGGGATTTTACAATATCCTGGATAAGACAGCACCTGAAGGATATTTACATGCATCCACGGTTATTATTATCCACGGGGGTTATTATAACTACAGTAACATAGTTACCTAAGTTGGATTCAAACCAAGACATAAACATTTCAGTTCCCACCATAAAGTCAGCATTTAAATGGCATAAACAATATGTTAATACTTCTCTCACCTATCAATGTTCATGAGAAAAATAACAGATAAAATCAGTTCTTACCATCAGCCTTCTTCAGGGCTTCCATAACCTTAACCGGCAGAGAGGATCCAAAAACCTTAACATCATAGTTAATAGTCTCACTTGCTGAAGGATGCTGGATAACTCTGGTAGGAGTTGCTCTTAAACAAAACAAAAAGTTAATTAGTTTTTTATTGTTTCTTTATCAGTTTCAACATTGACTTCAACAGTATCTGTTTACAAACAGACGTGATGAAACTGGTTTATGTCAAATAAACACGTTCCCTCTCTGCAGAAGTTGTTAGCTGTCATCAAATTCCTTTATTTTTCAAAGAACTTGTCTGGTATATGCATTCCTCACCCAGCAATGACATCACTATTCAACTCTCTACATTCTGATTATCTACAGAATAAAGCTACCCACAAAGCCAGGAGAAGCTCAACAGGTGTTCTTCCCTGACTGAAGGGCCTACTTCCATCCCCAGGTCTGACGCTGCTGGGCAGTGCACACCGTGCAGCACTCTGAACACCCATGGCAGCCTGGACCAGCCAGCACTTCTACTGCCCTTGTTTTGCTGTGGACACTGCAGCTCTTACCTGTTTCAGTCATTTGTTTCACAGCATAACGACTAATAGCTGCTTTACATCTTCCCCCACCCTCTACCTCTGGAATGGCATAGGTCTGTCTTGCTTTTAACAAGATTAAGTGGGTACGTTTATTTGCTTTTAGAAGATACTGCCCTTTAAAATTTTATTCTCAAAAGCAGAACGATGCCACGGACCTCCTCGGTGTGAAAGGACAGAACATGATGATGCACAGCTAGAAGACAAGCCTGACACCTGGTTTGGAAAAATACCGTATTGAATAGACCTGAAGTGAAAGTTCCTCAAAGCTTATCCCAACAAAAGGGAGCTGTTCCTGAGAAAGGATATTTTGAACCCTGAAACTCATCTGGGGCTCATGTTAAATCTCAGTGCTGATTCACACGGGAGGGGAAGCAGAGAACGCCCAGGAATGTGGAGGGAAATGCTTAAAACTCGGGAGTATTTTATCTTCTTTTTGATTAAAGAGGTTCTTATTATTTCCCTACTTCTCCTCCACCAAGGACTGCAGGATTCCCGCCGGGAGCAGCAGCCGGTGTCAGACAGACGCTCCCCCCGGGCCGGGCGGCGGCGGCACCGGGGCCGCGGCGGCCCCG